AATAATTATTATTTATTTTTGTATTTATGAAGATTATTTCCTTATAATTATTTTGATTAATTAAATGGGTTTGATTGAATTTTTAAAGGTTTTTAATAATAATCATTTATGAAAATTATTTTGTATAATATTATTAATTATGATATTTTGTTATAATTATTATTTGAAGAAAATCATATTTTAAATTGTATTGATATTTTATTTTAATTTGATATATATATATATTATTTATTTATTTATTTATTAACTACTAATTCTGGATTTTCATAGCCACGGAACGGGCCGTTCCAACTCGAGCATGCGTGGGCAAAATTTTAACCCAGAACGGGCCGTTCCAATTTCGGAACGGGCCGTTCCGGATGTGATTTAAAAGAACAAATTATTGACCCAGAACGGGCCGTTCTGGGAGAGGCTTTTGTACGTGTTCTATGTGCCCAGAACGGGACGTTCCGGATTCGGAACGGGCCGTTCTGGCCGCGGCCTGATGCCTATAAATAGAGCGTTTTGCACTCTCTAAAACTCATTTTTTCATTTTCTAATCTTTTTCCTCCTTTCTCTCTGAAGACGAAGGGGAACTTAGAAGGGGCAACCAACAAGATTCAGCTCCTGCTTATCGAGGTAAGGGGGAGTGAGAAATCTTGCTCTGGGTGTGGGAATATATGTCGGGTAGTGGGATTGGCCCCCAATCCTGTGTTTGCTGTATTTTTTGTATGCTCATGTATGAGGGGTTTCTCCCAACTGTATCTGTTTTGCTTATTATTTTTCTTATATGCAATTAATTGTATGATTTGAGATCTCTATGGGTTCTTATGGGAAACCCTTTGAGAAACAGACAAAATAGCAAAATATGAATGTTTTCTATTTTGCTATCTGATTGCTCTATTGTATTCCTTGTTGAATGTAATGTGTAAGTATGTGATTAATTTTGAGAATAAATAGATTTTGATATGATTTAGAGTGTTCTATGGGTTCCTGCGGGAAACCCTATGAGAAATAGGCAAAATATGAATATTTTCTGTTTTGAGTTCTGATTGTTCTGTTATATTCCTTGTTTGATGAGAATTAAAAATATGTAATTAATTTTATAAATAAACGAGTTTTAATATAAATTATAGTGCTTTGTGGAAGCTTTAGGGAATACTTCTCTAATGATCTTAATGGTTACCTATAGGAACATGGCATATTCCATCAAAGTTCTTGCAATCATACCCCGCAACAAAACGGGGTTGCTGAAAGAAAAAATCGGCACATTTTGGAGGTTGCTCGTTCTCTTATGTTCACCACAAATGTTCCCAACCATTTTTGGGGAGAAGCTATGTTAACTGCTACCTATCTTATCAATCATCTTCCATCCAAACCTCTCTAATTTTTAACCCCTCTTAACTGTCTAAAAAGTTTTTTTCCTCTTTGTGGAAGCTTTGTGAATATGATGAGATAATGTGAAATGTGATTGAGACATGAGATATGAAATGTGATAATGAAATATGATGATGAAATGTGATGAAGAAATGTGATGATGTGAAATGACCATGGGAAATGATAATGTGATATGAGAATGCATAGAGTCTTGATTGACATGCATCATTTGCATAAGTGTTTTAAGGGTACGATATGGAATACACCGCCAGAGAAGGCCCCCTAGTGTAAAAGCTTTGGGGATTAGTCCTTGGGGATAGCTCGGTTTGGAAGTCCCAGTCTCGCCCATTGTGTGCATGGGATGTATCTTGCGCGGCTTAGCTATCCCGACGAGACTCTGGTAGTATATCCTTCTAGTGAGAGTGCGCAGAGGGTGTGACCCGGCATGTACTCCTAGACTACTCTTCGTATATTGCTAGCGGCAATATGCCATGTGATGTTTTACTGGCGCCACATGCATGATAATATGTAGTCCGTGTCCATACATGTGCATTTTAAATGTTATATAATAAATTGATATTTTTATGTCTTGGATGAGTGAGATGAAATATTGTTATTAACATATTTATGCTATATATGTCTTGTTTGTGTTTGGCTATCCGGTGTGTATTTCTACACTGTGAGCCAGAGTGAGATGTTTCTCACTCCTTTTTCTTTTTGTTGTTTTCCTTTGACTGTTGTACAAGTGATTATTAGCATGAGGCTGGAAATGTAGGTGATAAAGCTTAGGCTTTAGAGTTTGGTTTTGCTCTGATAGGACATGTGACATCGGGACATAGATAAAATAAGAATATGACATTGTTTATGATTATTTAAAGTATATATTTTGGAAAATTCAATTTTTATTCTTTGTAATTTTATTTGCTATTTGGATTAAGAACATGAATGTGAATTCTCTATTTACATGATTATTGGAATTGTCGTTTCATTTTTTAAATATTTTTTTTATCCAATAAGATATTTCTTTTTATTATTATATATATATATATGTTGGGGTAGAGGGTGTCACAACGTGAAATGTGATTGAGACATGAGATATGAAATGTGATAATGAAATATGATGATGAAATGTGATGAAGAAATGTGATGATGTGAAATGACCATGGGAAATGATAATGTGATATGAGAATGCATAGAGTCTTGATTGACATGCATCATTTGCATAAGTGTTTTAAGGGTACGATATGGAATACACCGCCAGAGAAGGCCCCCTAGTGTAAAAGCTTTGGGGATTAGTCCTTGGGGATA